TCAATTATTGATCAAACTAGCGATGGTACAGCAATAAATATTTACAATTATAAATTATAAATATAATGTATGACGACAACAAGTATTGAAGTGAGTGTGAAAAAAACTGTGTGAAATTGTGCAATATCCTTGTGCCAGAGGGTATTTTGAAATTGATTTTTTGACAGGATGTTCGGACAAAATAGAAGTCATTTTGAGTAAAATATTGAAGTCAGCTACATCTTGGCGCACACCACAAATGATATGAACTGGAGCTCGGAAGAGAGGACATCCGCGTGGTTGAATCCATCGCGAAATCCCACTAAGCGTAATACATGTCGCAGCAAGGCTTCAAGTATGTCTTTTTAACCAATGGTATAATGCGACTATAAGCAGTTGCCCCATCTTGTTGAAACTATATGTTCTTGATGAAGACTTTCTACCCTTAAAGTTCGGGAATGAAACGTCTTTTATCATGTTCATGTATCGTGCAGAATAATTAACAATGACAGTTCTTTTTCTTCAAAGATTGATAGCCCATAAATCCCTTATTTTCATACAGCACACTAAACTGTGTTCCTGGTGTTTTTGTTTTCGTAACTGACCCTTTAGTCCTAAATAAGAGGCCGACCTTTAAAACTGTATTCTGCCTCGGAAGTTCACCATGACGACCAATGCAAAAGTGATGTCTAAAACATCGTTGAGTTTCCACTCTTTACCCACCACGTTGAGTTTCACAGTACACTCACCACTTAAAAATAAAAAACATTGTATGTCAACATGCAATGATCTTTCATCCACAGCGGCATGATGGTGATTAAATGGCATTAGTTGGGGAGCTGAATGACCTTAAACCCGAGTTTCTCAGTAATGAAGAAAATACTGACACTAATCAATCAAGCAATTTTTGTAGGCCAAAAGATAAAACAAATTGTCAACAACAAAAAAGCAGTGAAAATAAAGCACGAACGAATAAGTCAAAACTCATCATTTTGGCAGACAGCCACGGAAGAAACTTAGGCCACCTCATTGAACAAAGAACTAATTTCAATTAATGTTTGCTCTTTTGTGAAACCAAACGCTACGTTCAGTAATGTGGTTGAATGTGCGAGAGAGAGGATCAGTGGCTTTGGAAAGGAGGATTATCTTCTGGTCATTGGAGGCACTAATGACGTGGAATTCCATAACTCTGAGCTTCTAAATAAAGTGAAAAATGTCAGTGAGATATCTAATCATACGAATTTAATGATTGCTTCCCTGCCATGGAGACATGACAAACCAGAACTGGACGTTAAAATTGGAAAAATTAATAAAGATTTGGAGGACATTGTGGCTTTGCACTCAAATGTTTCCCTACTGCCCCTTCATCTTTTACCCCGACATTTACATCTCATGGACTGCACTTCAGCAACAGGGGTAAAATCAAGCTGGCTGAAAAGTTTAAAAAAGTAGTTAGAGCCAACGAAGCAGCAGAAGAGAAGTCTACTCTGAATTTTGACAACAAGAAAATTAATATTGTTGAAACAAACATGAGAATCATGATAGACAAAATGAGAGATGACCGGTCAGTGGGTTTTGCCCACACCATTTCTGGGGATTTTGCAGAACCCAAACATATGTCTGCTGGAGTTGCTGTTACCTTCAGAAATAAATTTGGAAGACCTCAGTCAAATGACTACATTTCTGACAGATTGACTAAACAATGTGATAATGGAGCAACAATCTTCAGTCTGGTGACAAAGGAAGTGTATTGGGGAAAACCATCGAGGCTGGAGTATGACAATGCATTTAAACAGCTGACGGAACAATTCAAATCAAGTGGACTTAAGACTCTTGTGTGTTCACCGATGGGTTGCGTAAGAGACCTAATCCAACCAGACCATTTCATACAAAACCTTGTCGAATTTCAACGTGCGACTCAGGCCACTATCATCGTTGTTTCATATTTTCAAAGGTCTACCAGAATCCTGAGGAATGGACTCTCGCATAGGGACTTCTTGAGAGCACTGGAAAAATCAGTTGAGAAGTGGACTACCACTCCTAAAACCAAGCAGTCATTGTCAGGTGGTTCTTCTAAATAAATTAAATAAAATAAAAATAAATTTTTCCTCTCCAACAAGAATTACCAAGTCCACAAAATCCTGTATTGATAATATTTGATCACCAAAAATTAATCATCATCTGTCTGTATCAACAACAATGAATTTAGAATTAGGAATCTCTGATCACAGAGCATTATTTTTAAATATATTTAGTAAAACTGATAAAAATACAATAAATGGTAACAAATGTAAAAAAAGAATTTTCTCAGAAGAAAATACAGCAAAATTTATATATAATGTGAAAGAAACTTTGTGGAATGTATCTATAAATAATTCTTTTGAAAATAACTGTTTAAATTTCTTTGGCACGTTTCAAAATTTATTTGAAGAGGCATTTCCTATGAAGTTTTATCATACCAAACCGCATAATAAAAAAAAGTCTTGGATAACAACCGGTATTAAAATATCTAGTATTAGAAAAAGGGAACTAAGCAGACTAGTAAAGAAAGCAAATGATGATAATTTCATTAATTATGTTAAAAGGTATAAGTTAACTTTCAACAAGGTATGCAATGAAGCTAAAAAATTGTATAATGCTAAATTTATAAAAGAATCATGTAACAAGAGTAAGGCTGCTCGGTTTATCATTAAATCTGAACTCGGTTGTAAAAAAGTGACTTAAACTTTCCTGATATTAAGGTTAATGACAATCATCTAAAAAAATTGCAAGGAAATTTCTGAATTCTTTAATAAAAAATTTAAAAATATCACAAAAGAAATTGGACTAATACCGCATGAAGAGGATGCACTAAAAATGACAAGGCATTCATTGGCAGTAAATCAACCTAACCAATTTGAATTCAGTTTTGTAAGTACAGAAGAAGTTATTAATAATATAAAATCCCTCAAAAGTAAAAAATCTGCGGGCTGGGACGGTATTCCTATCGATCTGATGAAAACTGTCTCTAATTTCATAGCTGAACCTTTATCTATAATTATTAATCAGTCTTTAAATAAAAAAAACTTTTCCAGACCATTTAAAATATGCAGAGCTCAAACCTCTCTTCAAGAAGGGCGAGAGACAAAATCAGGACAATTATCGACCAGTTTCCCTTTTACCATCATTTTCAAAAGTGTTTGAAAAATTAACATCCAAACAAATCTCAAACTTTCTCGAGAATAACAATATTTTGGCTAAATGAACAATTTGGATTTAGAAAGCGCTTAAGCACAATGAAAGCTTTATCAGATTTTATTAGTGAGGTTTCATGGGCTTTGGATGGGTCACAGAGCACAATGGGACTGTTTTGTGACCTATCCAAGGCATTTGACTGTGTCAACCATGATATACTTTTAAAAAAGCTAAAAATTTATAACTTTTCAAAAGAATCTGTTTTATGGTTGACTTCATTCTTGACAAATCGATTTCAAAGAACAGTAATTTTTAAAAATAATGAAAAATCAATATCAGAATGGGAAAAAATTACAGTTGGTGTTCCCCCAAGGGTCAATTCTCGGACCTTTACTCTTTATTTTATATATAAATGACTTGCCTAAAAATGTGTCAAACAACCTTGTTTTATATGCAGACGATACAACTGCAGTTGTCAAATCTACAAATGATTCAGAACTATCTCTCAAAGTTAAACAAGCCCTATCGGAATTGGAACGGTGGTTCAATATTAACGGTTTAAAAATGAATCAAGATAAAACCCAATTGGTAAAGTTTTGTACTGCTCAGGCTAGAGAGTTTAGTGACCAAAATGTATGTGTGCAAGATGATGCAAAATTTCTCGGATTGTACGTAGACTCAAATTTAAATTGGAACAAAAGCATTGAAAATTTGATTAGTAGACTGAATTCGGCATGTTATCAAATGATATGTTTAAGAAACACAATTGACTTAAAAACTCGTTTGATGTTATATTATGCATACTTCTATTCAATTCTTCAGTATGGAATTGAATTCTGGGGCTTTGCATCAAACATCGATTTAATTTTTAAGATACAGAAAAGGTTTTTAAGAATAATGATATTTGCACCTTGGAGAACATCATGTAAACCTATTTTTAAAGAATTAGGGATAATGACTGTTCCGAGTTTAACTATTTTTAAAACACTTTTGATGGTGGAGGGAAATTTTGAAAAATTATGTAGTGAAAATGTCAAGCATAAGTACGATACTAGGTTTAAATATAATTTTCAATATCCGTGGCACCGTCTTTCATTAGTAGAAAAAACTCCGACATACATGGGCAAAAAATTGTTTAATAAATTGTCTCAAGAGCTCAAAAACAGAATACAGTCTAAGCATTTCAAGAGCAGCCTTCCTAATTTTCTTTTAAGGAAAACATATTATAGTATAGATGAGTTTTTATGTGATCAAGATGTGTAATTATTTCGTATTTTAAATGCAATGTTTAAATTTATGTATTACAACAATTATTTTTATTTTGATAGCGTTAGTTTATTTTTTTATTTTATAACTCCCTAGTTTTAAGGTATTTGTATAGGTACTGTATTGACAATGTCACCTGTTTTATAGCATTGCTATATTTAGTAAACGTTATGTGACAATAAAGATTTATTTATTTATTTATATTACGTGCCTAATAAAAGCACACTGCTTTGTGTTGTTTGGTTGGAATACTGGAGTGAAAAAAAAGAAAAAAAACAGTGTGGCAAAAGTAAGTTAATACAGCAATTAGAAACTTTCTGTACTATAATCCCTGCATGGAAGACCACTTAATCAGGAGACTGCAGGAAAATAACTATTTAATACATTTTATGGTTTTAGCCTGGTTTTGTGGGCCATAAAATGTGCATTAAGTTGCTTCAACATGAATACTTAGTTAATAAATGAATAATTAGTTTCTTTGATACTAGAATATCATCAAATGCCATAGGAACATAAAAAATAAATAAAAGGGATATTATTATGAATAGGCAAGAGGTTAATTTATAGTAATGTTTATTGACAAGTGCTTGCAATAATTTACAAGTTAGTTTTACTAGATGAATTAACAAAATGTATTTAACATTTATATCAGTTGTAAGCTGTGTTTTAATAGTTCCTAATTTACTTATCCACTACAGAGCACAAAATGCAATTTTATAAAAGAATATTTTACAGTGCCATGAAATAGAATTTATAGTAACAGAGGTACATAAATATTTCACCAATATTTGTGTGCAACAGACAGAAAGAGATAATTAATATGAGATAATTTATTAATTGCTAAATTAAGTCTTAAAATTCACTCATATATTTTTATCAAGAAACAACCAAAACATAATAACAGGATAAATAGGCTAATATTTACCAAGGTAAACAAATAAAAAGAGTTATGTTCTGTTGCAAGAAGCATGTCACTTAAACAAAAATGTCATTTCATAAAAAGTAAGAGGCTCAAAGGAACTCAAATAGTTCCTTCAAATTAGTCCTGATCACATTTCTTCAGTAGTATCTAGTTATGTCCTCCTCAGAGTGTTCTGTCCTACTGTTTTGTAACGTATTGTGTCTATGGAGGCAATATGGTATCCAGAATGGGCTTGAATTGAAGTGTCAAAATGTATCCCACTGGCTGTACTTGTAACATAGTAATGAGTATGATTATACCCGCAATGAAATGAGAGGCTCACTGAATAGGTTGAATTTGGAGACAAACGCACGTTCTTCATGGCATTAAACGAAATGGTACAGTTGGAAGCTCCTCCAAAGATTGGTCCTTGGTATCTCATCTCAGTAGGGAGTTCTGTCCCCTTTTGTATTGTTATTGAGCAATTGCATTGGTGTTGGTGTTGACTACTGGAGCTCTTAAGCTTTATTGCACACAACTTAATTGCAACTCCTTTAGTTATGATATTTATTTTTGAATTAGAAATGGAACCATAAACACTATCTAGGCTCAATCTTTGTTCCATCAATTCTGACAACGGTTCTCGCCTCTTTTCAATCTTGTTGCAGATTGTTGTCAAGTCAGGCTGTACTTTCTCAGTTCTGCGAGTGTCACCGATCAACTTGAGTTCATCATATGTCAGGACTCCTGAAGGTACCACTTGAGCCATCAAATCTTTGTCAGACAATGTACAGATTCGAATGTGTTTAAGATGGTCATTCAACTCATCCCTCAAGACTTCTCCATTTTTCGACTCTGCTGAAACTGAAATTTATCTTTTGATGAAAAGAGTAAAAGCTACTCTAATATAGTTATTTGTGTAACTAGTGGTGAAAGTGGCACTTTGCTGCACACGAGAGCAATGTTTACACACTCGCCTGCGGCTCGTGCGGAATGATCTCGAGTGCAGCAAAGGCCTTTTTCACTTGTGTTACACATTATATTTTTCCTACAGTCACTATAAAGCATATAAATAATTAGTCTTTCAAACACTATACAACACGTTTTTAGGTTCAGCTGGCAACACAAATGGTGCCCTAGAGAAAGTAGTACCCGCGGTCCGTATCACTCTGCAATTTTTCCTCGACAAGAAATGTGCTCCGCGTTTTGAGAATATAGTTCCGTATGTTTTTGTAATTTGAAATGGTTTCCGCGCCTAAAAAAATGCTATAAAGGTATTTTCTTGTTTATTAAGATCGTAGGAATGTTTTAAAAACGTTTAAAAGAAAAGTCCAGAAAGTTTAGAAATACCGAAACTATAAACACGAAATAACAGGTTAAATCGTAGTTATAATAGTCAATCAGCTGCTCATAGTATTATTATCTTTAAGTGTTGCCAACCTATTTCCAAGCGTGCACGGATTACGTGCATAATAGAACCACGCTGTTTTGTGTTGTTTCGTTGGAATCCTGATGTGCGGCAAAGTATAAACCGTACGACAAAGTATAAACCGTACAGCAAAGTATAAATATGCAGCAATTAGCAGCTTTCTGTACTATAAACAGTACAAGGAAGCCATTTTTGTCGGGTGACTGTAGGAAAAAATTATGTTAACAATTGCTAAATCTACAAAAATACCCCTGATACAGCAAACATTCAGACAAAGCAAATTTCAATCTGTATGATTGGATTTTTACTAAAATTGTCCACAAACAAGTCATTTTACCTATTTCAATAACATTAGATTTGACTTTAGAGTACTTAAGTTTGCTGCAACGGGGAAGAAAAACGTATTTTTGATCAAATGTTAATAGTATAGGATGAAATAAATCGTGGGGAATAAATCAGATATGTTTAAGGAAATATTTTAGTAAGAATCTAAACAGGCAAATGGAAATTCATTTAGCCTGCAGGTTTGCTGCGACGGTGGTATATTATGCATTTTGAATTTGTGTATTTTATAATTTAATACGATTAAAATAACAAAACCTTCATTTACAGCTCAGGAGTGTTGTCTGACATAGTTTACAATCTGTGAGACAGACTTGTCACAACTGTAGGGTATTTGGTTTACTTGTATTGTTTTTCAGCCGCCTCAGTCAGGTCATTTGCAACTCATGAAAGCTTACCCTGTTTGTGGCAGAGTGGACATAAAATCTGAATGAAAACCTTGACAATTATCAATTTAAAACAAATTAAATCAGGAATTGTTATTTAACTACTACAAAAATATTTAGAAACACATCAAATTGTGTGTGAGAACACTGATTACCTCTATGCCTAGCCCATTCAATGGCAGAGGTCCAGAGGTCAATTTCAGGTACGTTGCACATCTTCTGTTGCAGAATTGTTAGAAATCCGAGAGGAGACAAGTCAGGAAACAGAGGACTAGCCAAAACTTTGTCTGTTTCTGTCTGGAGTATCTGAATACAAGAACAATCATTTCAATTCAACCTTGCTAAAGGAAAATAGCAAATTCAGTATTGTACTATGTACCTTAACCTTTACTTACTTCATGAAAAACACAGTTCACTTCCGACTAACCGAGGTTGTTGGGACGAGACTACCTCAGTATAAAATTGTGGATAGCACAGAGGTTGAATAGATTTTAAGATTAGGGGTTATAGCACAACATTAGGAAGTTATTACTGGTAAAATAAATGTTATAACTACATAGTGAATATTTAAAAAAAATCAAATGGAAATTGAATGCAAACTTTTTTTAAATAAGGTAGTGTTATAAAGGAAAAATAGCCCTGCAGAGGCAAACCTTCTGACTAAGTGAATTTCAATTTATCTGATTGCCTCATCAAGCCTGACCTACGCCAAGCCTATTATCATTGCCTGATTTTTTTAAATTTATCATATATAGGCTACTACAATATTTCCATAAACAAGACATGTTTCTTCCCCGTTTAAATAACATTTGATTTAATGAGTAAATTTAATTTGAGTTTAATGGTTTAATGAGTTAATTAGGATTTTTTGAGAGGATAGCAGGCTTACCTGAATGGGAAAGAGTCCAAACTGGCACAGGAAACACAAAACAAAACTTTACACTATATACACAAAACATTAGAATATTTCACTGTCACTGACAGCATTTTCAACTAAGGAAGAGATAGTTTTCTAGATGTCCAAAATGGTCCAGTGTGACAGTGACAGTGAAATATTCTAATGTTTTGTGTATATAGTGTAAAGTTTTGTTTTGTGTTTCCTGTGCCAGTTTGGACTCTTTTCCATTCAGGTAAGCCTGCTATCCTCTCAAAAAATCCTAAAAAATCTAGGCCCTTGTGCTCTATGCTACACCCTTAACCCTAGCAGTGGCCAACCGTCGTCTGGTGACGGAATGACGTTGATGCTTAGAATGGCCAAAGTCGTCTGGTTACGGTATGGGCCGAAATTTTTTTAACGGTAAAAAAACATTTACAATCAACTCAGATGAGAATAATATATATACCATTCGAAAGATCACATTCTGAACTTTCATTTGATTACATAAACAAACCCTGTAGCAGGTATATAACAATGTCACAAGGATTAGAAATCAAATGAAATTTTGGCGCGGTACGACTTTTGCAGCCGACACTTGGGAACTGGCAAAACACGTCTTGTTTGGCATTACCCTGCTCGGGTAATTTTCGTCTTGGGATGTTGCGGGTGGTACCACTGGACAGCCATTGATTTTATCTTCATTGTGGTAGTGATATTTATAACTAAATATTGATTGCACAATCGATACGATTTTATGAAAACAGCTGTTTTCGAAATTTCTAACAAATGGCCAACAGTCGTCTGGTGACAGTATGGAAAATACGAATTATATACAGTGAAAGTTATTATTACTAGTCATATAGTATATCATTTTGAAGAGGAAGAAATTTAGATTCAGAGAGTGGCAGCCCTGCACTCAGGGTTATTTCTGTATGCTCGCATGTAGACGACGGAAGTGAGTCATTACTGATACAGTCTGTCAGCTGTCTTGTATTGCCATTGTTTGTTTGTGTTGTTGCCGGTAATAGTTTTATCCGCGATTTATTACTAAATATGTTATTAGTTCGTAGTGTTAGTGTTAGTGACTATGTAACATTAGAACTATGTTACACCTTAAAAAAGATGAATCAGTTAAATCTCACTTTAAAAATCTAAATATTTTAACAGTTTTTGCAGCGTATACTTTTGAAATAGCATGTATAGCTAAAAGAGACAGCCTAAAATATGAGCCAGTTGTGCCACATAGTTACAATACAAGACATAAAAAGGATATTGTAACTTCAACCTATAAGCTGGAATTCTCCAAAAAAAAACCAACTTTTGCTGGATCACTAATTCTAAGGAAATTGCCTGCCTCTATAAAGGAGGAATCAAATTATAAATTATTTAAATCTAAATTAAAAAAACATTTAATAGAAAAGGCGCCTTATACAATGGAGGAACTCATTGAATAAATACCTATTCATACTTAAAATGTATTTATATCTTTAAGCTAGTTTAGTACTTTATACTTGACACTATTTTTGTACCCATGTACATGTAAGGAAAATAAAGATGTTTTGATTTGATTTGATTTTGAAGTGTTGTGTGTGTGTATAACAGTAATCTTCATGCATAAATATTACTGAATTGTGTGAAATAGTGTTCATAAAAGGTTGTATTTTGTTAGCATCATGTCCTAAAATGATGATTCTGACACAGGCCCGTTTTTGACCCTGTCAGCGCCCTAGGCACGTCTAATAGTAGCGCCCCTTTGCAATATATACAGGGTGGCTGAAAAGTAACTTGCACCCCCACTTAACTTTTCAACCATTTGAGATATTTGAAATCGGTTTGCGGCAACTTTCTTAGATATGAGGGGCTACAATAATTATGGTCAATTTTGAAAATTTTGCCCTTAGGGGTAAGAGGCAGCTCAAAATTTTCAAATGACAAGTATAGTCAAGTTTGGTATCATTTTACAGGTCTTGACGAAACATGAACATCAACATAAAGAAAACCAAAATCGGCTCACTAATAACAAAATGGCGCCCTAAAACGTTTCAAATCCAAATAACCATGAGGGTGGCAAACAAATTAACTTGCACCCTCCCTAACTTTTTAACTATTTGAGATATTTGAAATCGGTTTGCGGCAACTTGTCTGGAAATGAAGGGCTACAATAATCACGGTCAGTTTTGAAAATTTTGCCCTTAGGGGTAGCGGGGGTAGGGAGTAGCTCAAAATTTTCAAATAGCAAGTATAGTCGAGTTTGGTATCATTTTGTAGGTCTTGATGAAACATAACAATTAAAATAAAGAAAATAGAAATCGTACCATTAATAACAAAATGGCAGCGCAAAATTACTTTGAATAACCATTGTCTCAATCATTTTTAGCTGCCATTTTGTTATTAATGGTCTGATTTCTATTTTCTTTATGTTAATTGTTATGTTTCATCAAGACCTACAAAATGATACCAAACTCGACTATACTTGCTATTTGAAAATTTTTAGCTATCCCCTACCCCCGCTACCCCTAAGGGCAAAATTTTCAAAATTGACCATAATTATTGTAGCCCGTCATATCTAAGAAGGTTGCCGCAAACCGATTTCAAATATCTCAAATGGTTGAAAAGTTAAGTGGGGGTGCAAGTTACTTTTCAGCCACCCTGTATATAATAGGGTGTATATCGACCGGGAAATCCGGGAATCATGCGGGAGATGAAATGAAAATCGTCTTTATTCTTGAGCGTTTTTCATATTACAACATATGTTTTTCAAAACAACTCACGTCAACATAAATAAATAATATAAAACAAAAGCAACTCTCAAATCTTAAGTTAGGCTAATTAAAAATTAAAATATGTTCTCTATTCCTAATTATTTTACCATTCTTCAAACCATTTGTTATATATTTTTTAAATGACTTTTCACTGTCCAACACCCCTGGCTCAGTCCTGGATGACAATTTATTCCAGATTTTAGGGGCAAAATAAGAAAACCCACAACGGTCGGACTCACAGCGCACACGGGGCATCTCCAGCATGTCATCCTGCCGTGTGCATCGGGATCGCATCTCAGAGCGAGCTCTCAGTCTTACCTTCAGGTACTGAGGTCTCTCCTCTGACAGTACCCTCCGGATGATGCAGGAAGTGCGTAAAAGGCACAGGTCAGCCATAGGCAATAAGCCAAGAGATGTGAGGTCTGATGAAATTCGATCAAATTTTTGCAGATCGCAGACGTACCTGACGCACATGTTTTGCACCCTCTGCATCCGACTCATGTCTCCCAGTGATATAACATTACCATACACCGGAAGACAGTAATCAAACACAGACAGTACAAGTGCCTGCACAAGCCGAAATTTGGTGGGTTTGGGGAACAAGTCACGATGCCTGTACAGCATTCTCAGACGACCTATTGCTCTCTGGCATGCGTAACTCACATGATCAGAAAAGGAGAGCTCAGGATCGAAATGAAGCCCAAGAAGCTTGGGAGCTTTACACTCTTTGAGCGGAATTCCGCCAAGGCATACTCCAGACAGGGGCTCGGACCGAACAACCCTGCTGACAGAAAAAGTCACCAATGAACATTTGTCTCTGTTCAGCTTGATGCCATGGGACATAGACCATGCAAAGACAGAATCCAAATCAGAATTGAAATCAGAGACTGCCTGATTTGCTGGGTCAGCGTCATGCTGAAAAGCCAGCTGAGCATCATCATCATGAATACAACCGACAATGACGCAAATCTCTTCCCATAGATGCGGCAAACAAAGTAAACAGGACAGGTCCAAGACAGCTGCCCTGTGGGACTCCTTTGGACTTTTGCAAGGGGGCGGAGATCTCAGATCCAACTTTGGTCTTTTGGCATCTTCCGTTCAAGTAGGAGTGAAACCACGACACTACCTGCTGGTCAAATCTGTAGTGATACATCATGGCCAACAGTAGATCGTGATCAATAGAGTCGAAGGCTTGCGAAAAATCCAGCATTGCCAGAGAAGTACACCTCTTTTCAGCTCTGAGCGGGAGATCTTTGAACCGTGAATTTTGTATTCCTACCTGGAGTTTCCAATTTACCGTGATCGCTCATGACAACAGTGACGTTTCCGTGATCGCGCATGACAACAGTGACGTTTCCGTGACCGCGGGAGACAATAATAAATGTCTACACACGGCCGCGAGGGATGATCAGAATTTTCCGCGATCGCAGAAGACGATGATGGTGTCTACTATCTACAGATGAACCGCAACGGATGATCAGAATATTACCACAATCACGGAAGACGATTGATGTCCACACGACCGCGGGAAACCTCAAGAACTTTGCCGTGATCGTGGAAGACGATGATGATCTCCACAAAACTGCAGGACATGATTAAAATTTTGCCGCAATCGCTGGAGACGATTACCATGGATTCATGACTGCAGGATACGTACGATATCTACAGGACCGCGGGAGATATAATAACTATTTCTACACGGCCACGAGGGATGATCAGAATATTGCCGCGATCACGGAAGACGAAGATAATGTCCTCACGACCGCGGGAAAATATCAGAATTTTGCCTCATTTGCGGTAGATGATAATAATCTCCTCACGACTGCGGGATACGTTCTTATATTGCCTCGATCATGGAAGACGATAATTTTATGTCCAAACGACCTGACGGCAGAAAATAGTAAGAATCTTGCTGCAAACGCGGGAGACGATTACGATGCCTACACGGCCGCGAGTGGTTATCAGAAGTTTACCGCGATATCATGCAAATACTACCACGAATTTTTTTTAAATTTCCAAATTTCTGGCGCCCCCAAAAAAGCCAATTGCCTCGCGCCCTAGGCACGTGCCTACCGTGCCTATTCGGTAAATCGGCCCTGTTCTGACATTCAGAGATTGTTGTACCTAAATAATGATATACCCAAGGTGTTATACATTTTTATAAAGGTAAATGAATACACTACAACATGTTTATAATGGTTTGGGGGTAAAAAATTTTTAAAAAAAGTTATAGCCTATACTAATTAGGCCTACTACTGTATTTTGTTAGCATCATGTCCAAAAATGACGATTCTGACATTCAGAGGTGCTATATATGCTATATAATGATTTACCCAAGGTGTTATACGTTTTTATAAAGGTAAATGAATACACTACAACATGTTTATATTGATACATAAAAAATTTGGTAAAATAATTATATAGGTCTAGGCTACTAAATACTGTCCACTCCATTTTCTCGAAATGCGCAAAAAATTCAAAACGTTCTCAAATTGATACATAATCATAGGTGAAAATAACTTTTTACCATCATACTTATGACTTTTTTGGATTCCTTACTTCATTAGCTTTACAAATATGTAGGCTACATATCATCAGCCTACATAATGTTTCACAACACAAGCAAACACTGTAGGCTATAGTTTACACTTATTTGCGGTTTTGCGGTTTTTATATTATTATGTCCCTATTACGTACCTACAAAAAAAATATTTCTAACATGTTATACATTTTTATGTAGGTAATTGAATACACTACAAGATTATTATGTTGGTTTGAAGTAAAACAATTTGGTACAAAAGTTGTATACTAAGTACTGTGATTTTTTTTCTCGAGAAATCGCTAAAATATAAAAACATTATTTTATATACGTATGTTTATAGGTAAAAAATTATTTTTACCATAAACTTTATGACTTTTTTTTATTCCTTACTTCATTAGCTTTACAAACATGTAGGCCTATATATCATTATTAGTATACACATATATTATAGAACTTTTTACAACATAAACTAACACTGTACGGTTTTCAATTTTTTTGGTTCTCCGTTTGTCATTATATTTCGCCCCAAAAACTTATACAAAAAAAATATTTTCCTAACATGTTATATATTTCTATGTAGGGAATTAGATTGTCTACAACAGTGGTCACCAATTTTATGGAGGTCCATTCCAAGTTTGTATAGAACTGTCACGGTCCGGACAAGTTTCCGGGGGGCCTGGTATACCCCCCAGCCAAAAGGGGGGTCCGGGGAAAAAAATTTCAAAATTTCAGTTAAAATGGCGTGATTTAAGCCTATTTGCGCATGTTATTTGTAACATATTTTTTTGCCAAAATACCATATAAAAGTTTGAATTTATCAGAAAATAGCCTATTGTTAAGGTTTGGAAAAAAATCACAAATTATAAATTGTGTCATTAAATTTAATTTCACTTAGAAATTATACATAAAGATTACTCACATATAATACTCAAACTCAGTGAGAGAAATGATTTTTTTTTTATTCTGGGCCACTTCTCTAAAGTTTGGAATGAATCCTGTGCAGCTGATTTTTGAGGTGGCTGTTACTGAGGCGAGATCTCGATTTATTTTTAATAAAGTTCATCCTTGAAAATGCAGACTTACATGTGTACGTTGATCCAAACATTGTACAAAGTTTGATGGCCAAGTTTTTTAGTTCAGGATATTTTTCACTGCTTACATACTTGTAAGAGAGAACTTAATACCACATTAGTAAACTAGCAGACGACGGGACATCGACAGTGTCCCACTGGTCTACAAAATGTATATAATAAATTTCCCATAAAAAAATTTGTAGAAAAAAAATTCCGAGGCCGCTTTTGAAATTAAAAAAAAAAATTCATTTTTTTTATTTTTTTCACTTTACCGATAAAATACACTGTCTAAATCATTATGATATTACTATTTCTATATTCTCCTGTTCTTTCCGAACAAAATGAATATGAGGTTGGCTAGGTTTACTTGTACGGTTGAATTTTTACGAATTTTCAAAAAAAGGTCTGCAAAATCGCCAAAATGGGTTGGCCATTCCCCACTTCTAACATTGGCCACTCCTAGGGTTAATGAGTTAATTAGGTTGCTAATGGCCTAGGTCTTTCTGTGCCCCCTACGGTAATAACTACTTCCCTATAGGAAACTTTCAAATTACATCATTAATTTTTTCTAATTATTTAAATATAGTTTACTAGGTAGGTAGGACAAATTGTGTTTGGCTTGAAAATGAAATTTTACGATCAGAACTTACCAATAAACTTTATGACTAAGACGCACCTTGTCAACAGTGGCGGATTCAGCTATAGATAGAGGGGTGGGTGAGATTAGAGGTAAATCCCCCCCCCCCCACAACGTCATATTATAATTCGCAGTCACAGCAAAACCCTGAATAACTCTTTCGGTAACAGAACACCATCATTGTCTTCCGCAATCCCGGTAAAATCATGAACATCAGCGGTTGAATAGACATTATCGTTCCCTTCCACGTTCGTGGCTAAATTCTAATCATCTCCTGCTCTAACAGTCACGGAAACGTCATCAACGTCTTCGCTGATCGAGGTAAAATGGTGTTCATTTCTTGCGGTTGTATATACACCGTTATTGTCTCCGGCGGTTATGACAAAACCCTGAATAACCCCTGCGGTAACTAACATCGTCATCATCTTCCACGATTGCGGCAAAATCGAAAACCCCTGCAATAACCGAACATCATTATTATCATCGCCAATTTCGGCAAAATTTTGACAATACATGCATTATAAAAATGTTTATATATGCCTGAGGGGTGCGGTCACCCCCTTCGTCCCCCCCCTTGGATCCGCCACTGCTCATCAGACAATTCATGAGAGGTAGGGATCATGTATGATGAAGTATATATAACCATGTCATATAACACAATCCTGGAGCTATACAAATTTGTACAAACTTACCTCATTAATCATTGAGTTTAGCTCGAGAACGGTGTAACAAGCGGGGTTATTCATCAGGCTGCAGATGTTGGTTAGGTTCAACAAAGACATCAGGCGGATTCCAAGTCTATTTTTTAACTTGGACATCAAATATTTGTCTGCAACGTACAGCAAGTTGTCTGCTTCATCAAAGCTCAAGTTTTGAGTGTTATCGTAGCCGTAAACAAACCTGAAAGAAAATATTACAAAATAATTTTAAATTTGCACAAAATGTCACAACTATTCAAACGCTTTTCTGATTGGCCGGGAAATTTAACTTACCTTAGTAGGTTTTTAAAAGTTTGGGGGAAGACATCAGGCAGTTTAACATCATTTTTTTCTGCTATCTTTGAGTTTTGCAATTCTGCTCTGAAAACCACAGAGTGGGCCAGAAGCATCTTTTTCACGACACCAATCCTCTCCTGCAATCAAACAATAACTAACTGATGATGAAGAATAAATAGTTTTGTGGGAAAATAAATAATCGCCAAATAAATATTGGCTATTTATCCCCTGCTTGTTTTGTTAAGTAGCAAAGAGCAAACATAAGTAGGCCTATTTGTTACACATGATGTTATTTTTAAACTTACAATAAATCTGGCATGTTTAAGCAAAAATTCAAGTGTAGTTAAATCAGGTCAATAGAAATTCTCTCAGGCTGCCGGTTAGCTGCAACAAATATTTCAGCTGGGTAACTGATTTAAATATTTAATTGTTCAATAATCTAAAAACATTTTTTAAATAACAAAATTTTGTGTTGCCCAGCTTAAAGTTTTGAATTGACGAAGAAAGGTTAAAGTTCGACATAGCATACAGTTCACAATTTTTTTAAGTCTTAGGCAGTCTTTTTGACTAACATGGCAGCTAGTCAGTGGGATACGGTGTGTACCGTTATAAAAAGAAAGTTACAACATATGATAACAGTATATTTATGAAGGATTTTGTAGGATGTGGTGTTTGTGGGTCTATCTACACCAAGAGTCACCAACCTACCCAACCTGCAAGCACAGTGGCGGCGATAAGAACCCGCGGGCCCTCCCCCCGCAAGTTTGTTCGCCGGGCCCCCCTCTCCCAATGATCTTTAAAAACATTTTCCCATGCATTACCGCATAAACTTGCAATTTTGCAATAAACTTGACGAGGCATCTCCCGAGGCGTCATTATCGTCTTCCATGATCGCGGCAAAATCGTAAATACTTCCCGTAGTCATAAGTCAGGGAAGAAACATTATCATAGTTTACCAAAAGCTAAACTGTTGGCCTCTGCAAATGTTAATTGTTCTATGGATTCCACAGCGTACAGTGTGAGAGACGTATCGTCGGCATAAAGGAAAGCCCTGGCCTATTGGATTCCAGTGTGGAGATCGTTTACAAACAACAGAAACAGAGTAGAGTCAAGAATGGAACCCTGGGGCACACCTCTCAATGTTCGGGTGAGTTATATTGTTGTAATCCATGTTCATCAACGGACGACACCCTTACGCATTGCCTCCTTCCCTTCAAATACGAGCAGAACCACTCTAGAGCCAAGCCTCTGATTCCAATACTTTTACACATTACATTTTCTTAAGTAGGAGGTCATGATTTACTGAGTCGAAAGCCTTGCTCAGATCAAAGAACAGGCCTGCAGAACAGTTCCCCTCATCAAGTACACTAACGATGTCATCAATGAGAGCAAACATAGCACTGGTGGTAGATTTATTTTTTACAAAGCTATGTTGGGATTCACTAATTATTTCATGTTTTTCTAGAAATTTTGTTAGGCGCAATAATACTACTTTTTCAAAAACTTTAGATATAGGCCTAGCTGTCAAAATGGATATTGGCCGATAGTTGTTGAGATCTTTAGATTTACCTTTTTTAAATACTGGTCTGACTATTGCAAGCTTTAGGGAGTCAGGAAAACAACCAGAAGAAAAGGAAAAATTTATCAGGTGGCTGATGGGTTCTGCCAGTAAGTCAGTGATATTCTTTAACATTCTAACTGATATTTCATCGACTCCATCTGAGTTTTTGTTTTTCAGGGTTGCTATTACTTCTTTTATTTCTTTCTCAGATGTAGGGTGGAAGAAAAAAAGATTCCTTTGGCTGTTCAGCTACGGGTTTTCTAAATGTTTTTACTGATTTATCATTGTGCTTCACAAAGTAGTCATTGAATTTGTTGGCAATGTTTAAGGGGTCGTGGGTCAGTTCTCCATCAATGTCTCAAATACACATATCATCAAATTTATTATTCTTTATTGGCCTTCTGCTGTTAATAATTTGCCAAATCACTTTTGATTTATTATCAGCTGACTGGATTTTGCGTAATATCTCATTAGATTTTTCTTCTATTATAACAGAACGATAGCAACATTTTAGCCTTCTGTAATATTCACGCATGAAATGAGTTGACTCTGATCCTTTGTTCTGTGGTAAAGACTGCATAGCTCACTCCTAATATTCAACGCTTGAGGGCTAAGGGTAGTTTTCCTAATTTTTTTATTTATGATCTTCTTTGTCAATTTTGGGAAGGATATGTCGAAATAGTATTTTACTTTGTCGATGAATAAATTGTATTTTAGATTCATGTCGTCTGAACTGAATACATCTAGCCAAGTTTCTTTAGAAAGGTGGAATATGAAAACGTTTAAGTTGTTTTTTATCGGTAGATTTAATCTACCGTTTCCAAAGCAACCCGATTTTGAATCGATCTGATTTGGCCTGAGGCTCTTAGGTAAGTAGCATTTTTTACCTGACTCGATGTAAACACATCTTAAGTGCGAAGTAAACCAATCTAAAGAGCAGCCTCCTAATAGTAAGACATGAAATTATATGAAAATCCTTCTTTAGCATCAATGAATGAATGGCATTATTTATTAGCTAGTGCCCTAGCCCTAGCCACCTAGGTTAATTTGCCGATTTGGTCGTAACAAAACTGTCAAGTTTATTTAGTTGAATCAGCATAGAGGATCCTCTATGGTATCACCCGCTGGGGGCTAGGAAAATTAACATTAATGTTTTATCTTCCTAGGCCAGAGACCACATTGGTTATAAATACGGCCCTATTAAATGCAACCAATTTTGACTGCGCCTTCACACAATCCACGAGGACAGTTAATGCAACCCGCATGACTTAAGACAATTCTTTTACTTAGGTTGGTAGATAATTTATATCGATCGGTCAAGTAATAGTGTTAGTATAGCAGTTGTAAACTACTTGAACTGTAGGTTTAAACAAATTTTCATCATAAAAAACATATTTTAACTCTCATAAATATTGTTATGATTGGGGACCCGTGTGGCTGAGCCTGACACACTATCGTGGGCCCGTGTGCCGGTAAAATTTACCAAAAATCCCGGTCAAGGCTCACGGGCCCCCCTAGCTAACGGGCCTCCCCACACTGCGGGCCCGCTATCGCTGCCACTGCGCAAGCAGATTGTTCCTGACCCGATACCATGTCTCAGCTATACTGTGATTGTTTCTGTGGTACCACTCGTTGCTATATCTTGCAGCCTCAGGGATACCGTGATCGTCTCTCGCAGTTGCGGTAACACTCGTCACCAGTAAATACAATTTTGTTAAAGTTGGAAGAGAACCAATTGAATGCAGTCAATGAATGGAGGGTCGGCAATAGGATATTGAATGAACTCTCGGCCCATACCAAATTAAAGTTCAATTCACTGTCATTTCTCGTTCAACAAAATACTCGTACAATTCCTGGTCTATATATCACTCGTACAATTCCTGGTCTATATATCGAATGACTACAGAAAATAATCAGTATAGTAGGCCAACATGTCTCTTACTTGCCTCTCAATCGGGGAAATTGGTTGGAAACATGTAGTGACCGAGTTACTAAAATACAGACCCAGGGCCGGATCTACAAAATATGGGCCCCCCTGCAAAAGTCCTCCAAGGGCCCCTACAGCTGCGTACGGGGCTCCGGGGGGTTTGGGGGGTGTGGAGCAATTAATGTGGACCATACAAAGTAGGTAGCAATCAATTACCATTATTGATTGGTAAAAAACACGTTACGCAGAATTTTGTGTTTTCCAAACTAACTACAGGTGCATTTTTGTATAGCAAGTGTCGATTAGGAGTTGTAAGCCGAAAACTGGTCAAATAATCAACTTTTTGGCTATGTTGATGAAAATGATCCAACTTTAAAAAGCTACAGCGGCTAAATGGCTCGGCCGATTTTGGAGTATTTAACATCAATCGACGCAGAATTTAATGCACTAAAAGAGACCTTTGAACAACATTTTCCGTAGGGTTCGTCTTTTATGAGCTATAAGTGAAAAACTGAAAAAAGTGCAAAATTTTCATGGTTTTTCGACTCCCAAAACTAAAGCAGACGTCAGAATCCGTCGCAAACTCACAGGACTCTTATTTGGGACCCCCAAAAGGTATTAAAACACTTTCCAGCTTTAGACGATTTTTTGGGGAGCATATGTCTAATTTGCCTGGGCTACAGGTACAACTGTGTATATTAATTAATTATTTAATTTAACAACTATAGAAAACCGGCGACACGGCACGATAAACATAACCTCACAAAACAAAACTACAGTAGTATTCACTATTTTGGCTGATCTCTAAAATAATTGCGTTGACAGATTGAGATCGCTCGCTGCACCCAGCGCTTGTCGTGGCAATAGTTTAAACTACTGTTTGGACGGAGTCCTCGGTACGTCGCTCGGGTGGTCCGATCGGACTGTAGTGGATCTGTGAAGCTCGCCATGCAGCTGACGTGCTGACTGGACTGAGCTGACTGAGTATGGACTGACTGAAAGTGGCGAGATTGAACTGTCTAGCTAGGCCTAGGGCGAGGTCTAGTTAGGTCGTGTTTGTCGACGAGTAAAATCACAAGTCTAAATTTACTTAATAATTCTAACTTTAGCTTTGATGTTGACAATATTTATTTGTCTGTCAAAACTAAACTTGCCGTCCTATTCAATTATGTTTATATGCATTAAAATAATTTTAATTTTTACGAGCTCTTTGGGCCCCCTAAGGGCTTGGGCCCCCCCGCATTGCGGGGATTCGCGGTTCCTAGATCCGGCCCTGTACAGACCTGCCGAGTTAGAAGGAAATGAATAGATGAAATTAATCCTATCAGAACTACAAATTGCATTGCAACCCTAAATATGCTGAAATTTTTCTTACTAAAACATAATTCTTATTTTCATGCTTTACACTTTTTGTAAACTCCTGTATTGTGAAGTTTTCTTATATGAACTCTATTAAGATTAAAAGTTCTCAAAGTACATTTTTTATGGTAGCTTTTATCAATAGGTAGCACTTTTTTACAAATGAAAACCATCAGTTTTTTTTTTTTTTTACTTATCAAGTGATTCACACCCAAGATAAGAAAATAAACTTCTGTGAGTGAGCGCAGGAGTCTTAAATAGACTATAAAAACTACAATAAAATTTCCTCTGAAATAAATCAAGCCTGTAGTCTAACTTTTTTGCGGAAAAAACTGTGAAAAAATTATTTAATATCTTGGCATCTAGAAAAATAGTATAGCCTAAAGAGAAAGTTTTTTTCCAGAAATGGAGAGAACAGCGATGATAGTAAAAATAACTTAAATTCTTGCAAAGATAAAAGAACTGACATTGTCAGAGTGACTATTGCCTACATATTTCATGTGGGTGTTTACTGTTTTAGGATGTGTTGATTCTGAATAACCGTGCTAACAAAGTTTTTGATGGATGAAGTCTCTGAATGAATTCGAAGCATTCATGTCACTTTTCAGTTGGTAACTCACAGCTACTGCTTTAAAGATGGGGACACCACCTATGTGTCTTTTTTAACCCAAAGTGTGAGTGAAGGATGAGTGTAGAATGAAGTGTGATGACTTTTGTAGCTTTGTTACTGACTAAGACCAGCTATCACTTGGTAATGAGATTAAGTAAACTGTCGTAACAGTTCTGAAATAGCACTGCATTTCTTCCTCAATATAGACTACATGGAACTGTAGCCCACATTAATGAACTTTTACTGAATTTGATCAATGAGCTTGGTGTCATTATGTTTCATTATATAAATCAAATTTACGTATTCATTTTTGTTTTACCTAACACATCCAAAATTTTACCTCTTGATCTTCTAAAAAACATTTACCATGCATACATACAGTCTATTCTACAATTTGGGAACCTAGCGTGGGATGGTGGCTATAAAAGTATTCTGGCCCCTATCGAAATTATTCAATAAAGCCATTACAAAAATTGCTCTACGGAAACCTCACCACTACCCCTTAGAACATGTCTTTGACGAGTTCAAAGTGTTTAATCTTTCACAGCTTTATATAAGACCATTAATTATACAAGTTGTCCATTGAAAAACATTTCAGGACTTTGGCAAATGAATCCTCATACTAAAAGAAAGAAAAAAGTTAATGTGAAGGTATGTCAAAAATGCATATTTACCCAGTTATCCGCCATTTTGTTAAAAAAAAATTATCTGTGAAATTTTTCATTTGATGATTATGAAATTTAACAACCATGTTAAAATAAACAATACCTATTATAGAAAAAATAATAAATTTGTTCCGATTATAAATTTCAAAATGGCGGCCGTTTGAGTTTTTATTACTTAAATAAATAACTCAAAATCAGCTAATTCGATGAAAAAAGTCAAGAATAATATCTCTTAGCATTTCCAATTCCCTATCATACGATACCAAGATCAAAAAGATCGGTTTTTGTGTACATGGCAAAGTTAGTCGGGAACACTTAATTTTGCCTGGTCCTACAGCTAAAAAAAGTTCTATTTCAGTTGTTTGTCGTTCGATATGTAATTACAAATAATAAAAAAAGTATTCTTGACATTTTTTCATAGGATTAGCCGTTTTTGAGTTATTTAAGTTATACAAATTCAAACGGCCGCCATTTTGAAATTTACAATTGGAACTACTTTAATATTTTTCCTATAATTGGTCTTGTGTATGTTAACATGTTTATCAAATTTCATAATCATTGAATGAAAAACTTCACAGATAAAAATATTTTTGTATAAAAAAAAACAAAATAGCGGATAATAAGCACTTTTGGACATTTTACCTTCACATTAACTTTTTTCTTCCTTTTAGTATGAGGATTCATTTCCCAAAGTCCTGAAACGTTTTAATGGACACCCTATATACATTTTCAAAAATTAAAATTCCCTCTTTAAACAAACTTCTCACAACCATCTTCTTACAAAATTTGCTTTGAACACTGGGATAGTTACATAAGTTCACTAAAAGTAGGTATTAATAAAACATATCCTCAGTACACTGCAACTGTTATTTTTTCAAAATCACCCACTCAGCTTAAAAATCCGGAGCCGTGCAGTCTGCTAAAATATAAAAAGCTCGTAAACAAATGGTTAGTGGAAGACAGACGCAGGCATATCAACAGCTATTTTGTATCCATGTATTCCTTCTAACACCGTCACAGTCAAATACAACGATGTATGACTGTCAGGCTATGTTGTTTGTGTGCGTGCCTGTGACGGCTTAACTAATGTAACTGTGGAGCCAGCATCCGCCTGATGTCCTGGTGCAACTGAGCTGAAGTGTGTTGTGTGTGCATTTTATAATTTTAATTATTAATTAAATTTTCTATCAAATAAGATGTTTGACTGCTCATTCCCCACCTATGTGGAGAATAATCCATCTCTGTTTGTTCAATTTTGTGTAACAAATATTTGTGTTTTCGATAGAATAAAGTATTTCTCATTTTATATCATTAACTAATTTTAAAATATTTTCTGCAAGAGCTACTTGTAGGCTGCAACCTATAATCAGATGTTTTTTAACTGTATTATTAGTTTACCGTGTCTCCAACTTCAGGGTTTCCCACTACGAAATAGCAGTTGTACTGCTCTTCAGGATCAAAAAGAAAGGTGATAAAATCAGGATCTGCACCTGCCACAACCACTTCCATTCCACTGGCCTTAGCCGCGGAACCGGGGCCTAGTGACATCCTGCAAACAATCACAGCATTTTTGTACTAACTTAGGCTTATTCAATAGTATATGAAAACCCTTAACATTGTCTTACCTGCACCCAAGGCTAAAAGGCCTTGGGCTCCGGCTCCCCCAGCACAACCCTGTCTTCCTGTGCTGGTGCACCACACAAACACTACCCACCAAAACTGACACCCTGATCAAGTAAGTGCACTGGCCTATCTGTAGTAAGCAACAGCCTTCTGTAGTTCAGCACAAGTTATTGTTCAACAACATTACCAGCCTACTCACACAACATTGCCAAACACTTCCTCCCCCCATTACAAAACTATTACCTAAGTTGTAGGGAACATAGAAAATGTTATAATAAAAAATAAAAATACATAAGTTAAGTTCTGTGGACAATAAAAACATACTTTTTATAGCCTACATATACAGTACGGCACTAAGTTTTTGTATAAACAAAACAAATTGCAATAACTTAGTGTATGACATAGAAAAACCTACAGTCTTATGTAAAAAATCATTTCATACAAGGACAATTTATTTTGTCGAAGCTGTAAAAAAAATGCAATAAACTGAGTATGTGAAATAAAACCCCTATGGTGTAGGCCTAATTGAAAAATGAATCATTTGTTAGTCAGGCGACAGCCCTGCCAAACGCAAACTATGGTTTTTATAACCAAAAATATAGTGACCCGGGGCCGGAGGTAAGCCCTTCCGTGATGCGCCCGATGGAAGGCTAACCAGCGATATCCTTCCTAATCGTTTTCATTCTTAATATTTTAATCCCTGTTAAATTTTTTTTAATCTTTATCAATTGTTGTTGTTTTCTATAGTTTTTAATGATATATTCCTTTCAATTATTTGTGTTATTTATATTGTTGATTGATTATCTTCTCGAATATAAATATCTTGAAATATAATAATTTGTAATAAGTTATAACGGGATTGTTATTTATTTATATTGTTATGTATTATATTGTTATTTATTTATATTGTTATTTATATTTATTGTTATTTATTGTTGATTTTTCTATCGATTGTCTTATTGATTTTGTGTTTAAGCTGGAAACTGTTTTTCGCTCATTTTCAAATGGCTCTGTCGTTGTATGTATGTCAATGCACAATGTATAATGTAATCTTGTTAAACCCACTTGTAAAATGGTGTTTGCCGTTTAATAAAAATGAAATGAAATGAAATGAAATAGCCTTTAATAACCTATGGTCTTATGTAAAAAATCATTTCATACAAGGACAATTTATTTTGTCGAAGCTATTAGAAAAAATGCAATAAACTTAGTATGTAAAATAAAACCCCTATTGTGTAGGCCTAATTGAAAAATGAATCATTTGTTAGTCAGGCGACAGCCCTGCCAAACGCAAACTATGGTTTTTATAACCATAAATATAGTGACCCGGGGCCGGAGGTAAGCCCTTCCGTGATGCGCCCGATGGAAGGCTAACCAGCGATATCCTTAGTTAATAGCCTTTCACTGTGAAAAAAAAAATGGTAAGTTAGGTACTTAGGCCTATATTTGGATTCAGGAGGTAAAAAGCTATAAAGATAGGCTATCAAAATTAAAAATTCCTTTGGAGGTGCCTAACTTAAGTTATTAGTAACTTAAATAACTTAATTACCAAGGTATTAACCTAGGTTAGGCACAAAGCAAATAATAATGGAATACGTTTTAAGAAGTCGAGGGACTACATTTTGTTAAGTTCATTTAACAAGAACTAAAATCAATTAGGCTTAAATAGACTAGAGAAACGTGATACACAGAGGATACGCGTCTAGTAACCGGACGTGGATTAAGTGTCCAGCAGTCACGTCATTGTGGGATCCCGGAACGCCATTACCACAGCGATAAGATTTATAGCCATCAGTGTTCGTGGTGTAGTGGATAGTGCTCGGCAGGTATACAAGAATCCCGTCGGTGTCAAAGATTTTGCTTTAAATACCATTTCTTCTTTACTGTAAGTTAGGTAACTTATATCGTTTGTTAGAATTTTTGTCATTTATAATTTTATGAACAGAATTTAAGTACCGTACCTAAACCTTCATTAAATTTTTTCACTAACTTATCAGCAAGTTTGGTTGGTTAGGTTAGGTTATGACAGTTCTTAACTGCCGGATGCCTAATTCACGTCCGGTTAACTTACTGGATGCGTATCATCTGCGAATGTGAGTTAGCCTATATAGGCCTAGGCGTAAGTTAGGTACCGGTAGTCTAAGGTTGTTTTGTTAATTCATGTACCGTACAAGTACGCATAATTAACTTAAGTTATTTATTTCATATCAACGGCAAGAGCCAATTTCCACTAGTTTGATTTGTGAACAGCAAAATACCCACTGCTGACTAACTTACCTAGACACAAATTTCCTTTCCCTATGCCTGGCATTTTTTGTATGTAGGAGGGTGGTAGGAGGCTAGGCTAAGTACATCATAAGACGACATTTTTATTGATCTTGAGGTAATTACATGCAATCGATCTTGTCATGAGAAATTGAATTTGAATTGAATCGAATCTCACGAATTAGCCGGCTGCACTTTAAGTTAGTTTCCGTCCTGGGTACAGTTTCTTAACTGGGCTATGCTAATATCGCTTGAAACTATCGATTCGATTAGTAAACCTTCATGCGATTTTTTTCACCATCAGCAAGTTTGGTTGGTTAGGTTAGGTTATGATAGTTTAATTTTATAATAGATATATTTAAAAATATCGATTATTAATCAATATTTTAAATTCGATAGTTTCAATCGATATTAGCATAGCCCAGTAAAGAAACTGTACCCTACGTCCTACACTCATTCGAATGAAAAATATCAATATATCAATTATCATTCGGTTAGTTAGGTTGGACTAACCTAACTAACCAAACTTCATATATCGAACTAAATAATCGATATATTCATTCGAACGAGTGTAGGACGTAAATTAAAGTGCAGCCAATTAGCCTACATTTCCATTTGACATTCCTGCTAAGGCCTTTATGTTAGGTAGATACAGTGATACAACTAGGCCTATACCGTTTTCCTGGTCTCTTACCTTGCTTCTGACTTAAGTATACTAGGCTACCACTATACTTCTGAAGTGGCAAGTAGAAGTTAGTTGTTAAACCTTTCTTATTCTACTTGTCCGTTGTCGTATTTAAACAAACTTTACAGAAGAAATGAAATAGAATTCCTGGAACGTGAGTGTCGATGTCAATGTGCTTGGCTTGGCTTGCTTGGACCACGACCGGCACGACCACAGACACAGTGTCTAGCGCTGGGGCGCTATCTACCAGGTCCAGGTGTCACTAAAGCACGGGTCACACTAGGCTGGCATCAGCGGCGAATTGAAAGAAGCCGCGACTGTCAGCTTAATGTGACCACAAAATTCGCAGCTGACACTGAGCTGACTCAGCCTGGATTGGTGAGCCGGTGATGCTGGTGCCAGCTGCTGATAACCAGCGGCTGGCGAACAGCCTAGTGTGACCCGTGCTTAACATTCACGTTCGTAACAGTTCGTTTCGTTTAACTGCCGCTAGGTGTCTCTTAAGTTGAATGTCCAGCTCTCGCTGTGATTTTGTACAAGCTGGTATATGACTACCCTAATTTGCTTCCTTCTCCGCAATCCACAGTTGTATCTTTTCTTTTACCCATTGTTTGAAAAGCCGAGAGTCGTGCCTCTTACCTGAGGCAACGTCTTTCCTCTTCCGGCTCCAGAAGAAGGCAGTTAGGATCATCTTTGGTTTGAATAGAAGAACATCTTGCAGACAGTACTTTGCTTCATCACAAATTTTAACATTTCCCTCAATATACATTTTAGAAACTTTGACTCTGATTAAAAAGAACCTACACCAATATCAATCTTCACCTACTCATTCATATACACTACGTAACAATTCACATCTTAAATTGCCATCTCATTCAACGTCATTCTTTAAGAAACACTTCCATTACAACGGCATTACACTTTTCAATCTACTTCCTCCCTCCCTTCAGCTGGAGCCGGACTTGGTCCGCTTCAAAAGGCAAGTAAAAAGGTTACTCTTGGCCAAAAGTTGCTACAGTGTCCGTGAATGTGTCGCTGATGGGTTTAATTTTAATTAAGTTTGAAGAAGATTGTCACTCGTAAATCTAGTTGATTAAAGCACAATTGTTTTATTTCAATTTTAGACGTAAAGATATATTTTGTTTGACATGACTAATGCAAATTTGTATTTGTTACTTTGGTTTAATAAACGAGTTATTGAGTTATCGAGTTAGGCCGATGATTGGCTTATAACTCTCACTAGATGTTCCCTGGAGGACCAAAACTCCAGAGACATGGCCGCACTATAGGCCTTTCCTGAAGGACAAAAAACCCCACAATGCGCCGTCGCCGTGCTGGAGCACTAAAGCTGGTGTGGTCGTGGTCACGGCGTAAGGTTACTGAATATGGTTGGTTGTTGGGTTGTTTATTATATTAGTTATTGTGTCCAAACATTACATGAATCATTATTATTTTTTTCATGAAATGAAATTAAATTAAATAATATTTTATTTCCCATTAATTAGATACAAATGAATACATTGTATTTTTTTCTTTACTTAAATATAATACAGCAAACATTACTAACTAGATAACAAAATAAAAATTGAGTTGCGAAACGGTTAATTTAAATGGGAGGTAAAAAATGTATAGGAAAACAAAAAAGATAGTATAATTTAAAATTTTTATATTTGTCTTGCTTGAAACTGAATTTTTAGTGTTATGGAATTGAATTGACGATAAAAACTCTTCGTACAAACTGAGGTAATTTATCAAACTCTGGTGAAAATTGAAGAGGAGAGGTGGAGTGTGGTGTAGCCTATTAGTCAGTCAGTGAAGATGGTGTGAAAGTGATTGTGTAGTGGAGTGTAGGGTCAACGGTCAGGTCGGCCTAACGCGATAATGGCCTCGGTATCCTCTGAACTCAGTCCTACAAGCCCTACAACATGCTTCTTAAATAGAGAAAGAGAGGGTGAATTTAGAATGTTGACATTTTGATATCTGTTACACATTTTACGATAAATGATTTGGGTTAAGTGAAAGCAATTCGTATGTGAAAATGTTTTTAAAGTTTGTGGAACATTTATACCAACATTTCGAGAAAAGTGCGTATTGTGGGGATGAGTAATTTTTACAAAAATATCATCAAAGTTTTTGTACATGTGAACTAAAATAAATTTTAAAAATAACTACCTGACTGTCAAAACTCCCGATTCTAAGATCGTCAGTTGAATATCTAAAGTGTTTTTTTAAAAGCAACTTTAAGTATCGTTTTCTGCACTACAAAAACAGGTTGCAAGATAGTTTTGTAAGCACCACCAAAAGCAATAATTCCAAAAGACAACAATGATTGAATATTATTATGCATATAGTATGCTATTTTAAATTAATTCTTGCTCTTCGAGAATATCACTAAGTTGCCTAAATGCATAAATATATTTACGTAATTTGTTTTTTTAGATATTCAACATGTTCCGACCAATTCATCTTTGAATCAAAAACGATACCAAGATATTTGTATGAATCAACTTTTTCAATTTTGCTACAAGAACAAGAGTTATTGGAATGGCTTCCACAGACATGAATAGTTAGGTTATCAAGTTTGTATTCGGTTACCTTGCGTAGGCCTAATTGAATTGAATTGAATTGAATGAAATTGGCATAAATTTTGTTTTAGATATATTAAGAGACAATACATTTTGGTCAAGCCATTTTTTAGCAAACAGAGGTCTGATTCTGCCTTATTTTTAACCTCCTCCCAGGATGCTCCGGTTACAAATAGAGTATCATCAGCAAATAATGTTAATTTCCCATCTGTTTGAATCTTAGAAATATTATTCATATAAATGAGGAATAAAACAGGACCAAGGGTCGAACCCTGGACCACACCATACTCCACTGGCAAAACATCGCTTGACACTTCACCAAGTGCGACAGTTTGTGTAGCCTATCAGAGAGGTAGCTGCTGAACCAAGCGAGCGAGGTGCCGCGCACCCCGACAAGCTCATCAAGTTTACGCAACAATCGACATCTGTCTAGCTTTTTTCAAGTCTAAAAATATTAACATACTTATTCGTTTGTTGCCATAAATTGCCTCGTTAATGAATTTATTAATATCAAATAAAGCATCAGATATGTTTTTGTCACTCCTGAAACCATACTGATTTTCACTTAAAATATTGCACTGGTGGAGGTAAAAAACAAGTTGGTCTTTAGCGATTTTCTTTAATAGCTTAGCAATTACACTTAACAAAGAAATCAGACGATAGTTATTCATGTCTGTGCAATCGGATTTGTGCAATGGGATGATCTTGGCCAATTTCAGCTCGTTTGGGAATATACCAGATGTCAGGCTAAGGAATGTGCAGAAGAGGAGCACATAGAGAGTGGATGTTTTCTTTAAAAACAAAGGCCGAGATACCATCATGGCCAGGCGCAGACCCTCCGCGCAGACCCTGGACGTAACGTTCTATGTCAGCGTGTGTGACCGTGTTGAATGTAAAATTTGTGTCGAGTGAGAAGTCAGCGTCGTTTACGACTGGAGCCCCAACTGAATTGATTGAGTTGGCCAATTTAGAACCTACTGATGTAAAAAACTTATTGAAATCATTTGCTATTTTAGTCTTCATATTCGCATTGTTCGAAGAACCAGGTAAAACTTTTTCAAATGGAAAATGGTCCTTAGAGCCATTTCTACCTGATATTTCACTAACTATGCCCCAAAATACTTTTGGATCCCTGTTAGATTCTGAAATTTTACCCCTATAATAATTTTTCTTTGCGATTTTGATTTTTTGATTTAAAGATAGGCGCAGGGCCCTGAATCTATCTAGTAGTAATATATTAAACGGTTGGGTTTTGATCTTTTTACTTAGCTTGTCTCGTTTACGAATTAATTTAATGAGATCCACGGTAATCCAAGGCTTTATTTTTTTAAAATCTTGTAGAGTGATGTTTAATTGTTTTAGTATCAATTTAGTTTTACTATCAATTGTTTTAGTTTCAATATCAGTGTAGGAAACCTAAATACTTTAATCCTTTAACAAATTCCATTGTTATTACCAATATAAGATTGGTTAAAAATCCGTCTTTACAGTTACAAGTTTTGGTTGAGAGAAAATTCTAACTCGGAAGTTCACCATGACGACCAATGCAAAAGTAATGTCTAAAACATCGTCGAGTTTCCACTCTTTACCCACCACGTTGAGTTTCACAGTTCACTCACCACTTAAAAAAACATTGTATGTCAACATACAATGATCTTTCGTCCACAGCGATGGCGATTAAATGGCATTGGATGGGGAGCTGAATGACCTTAAACCCGAGTTTCTCACTCCAACGGCTGCCGAGAAACGCGCGATTCAAAAGTGTACTTTTTCCCGTGGACCACTCTGTACCTGAGGATATTAGTAAAAAGCAAAGTTTCCGAAGCATTATTGTTTAAATGGACGTTAAAAACACCTCCAATTATCATTCGCATGTTGCGCTTACTAACATATTCTAGTAGTCTAGAATTTTTTCCAAAAGTTCAAAGTATTCACTGGTATTAGCAGAGAGGGTGAGTGATAGACAGCAAGAATCAAGATGGATTGTTTACATAGCTCAATACCAGTCAGTAACTTCAAAGACAATTTCCACAAAGAATCGTTCATGGTCAAGTTTCTTACAGCTAAGGTACATAGGCTAGGGATTTACATACAGGGTGTCACAAAAAAGTGTGATGGGCTATACAGGACCTAATTCTACATGCAAAAATAAGTCAAAAATGAAGATTGGCATTAATGCCAAATTTCATGAAAACCGGTACCTAAATCAAAATTTTGTAAGACACAAAAGATTTAGTATTTATTATGACAAATCCAACAAAACAAAAATGAATAAAATCGGTTCATAAATAAAGAAGCTGTGTTTATTTTAGTAATTTAGACTGAAATTACTTAATACATTACATAAATTATTACATTACATTTAATACATTTTAATATTAATAATTTCAGTCTAAATTACTAAAATAAACACAGCTTCTTTATTTATGAACCGATTTTATTCATTTTCGTTTTGTTGGATTTGTCATAATAAATACTAAAACTTTTGTGTCTTACAAAATTTTGATTTAGGTACCGGTTTTCATGAAATTTGGCATTAAAAAATTCAAACGGCCGCCATTTTTAAATTTGGAAAGTTAAAATAATAATTTTTTTTATAAATGTTACTTACTATAGTGT